GTTTATTAACGCGCTCTCTAAAACTACAGTTTATGGGAAACATTTTTTGATGCCACGCAAGAGACATGCAAGAGTATATATATATATATATATATATACATATATATATATATATATATATATATATATATATATATATATATATATATATATATATATATATATATATATATCCTTATAGTGTAGTCGAAAGAGCGTTTTAATGTAAAAAAAGTATCTTTCGACTACAATTTTAATTACAGTGTCTCTTAAGCTGTTTTTGATTGTCGTCGAAATGTCAAAGCAATTAAATTAATGCGGAAGTACATTAAATTTTATTGTTTTTTAAAAAAATTTTAAAAAACTACAATTATAACGATTAGAAAGTTTCTTTAAATTTGTGGTGTTTTTGTTTTTGTTTTAATAAAAAACATTTTTAAAACATGCACAATTGTTGCTACATTGACTATCTTATAGCCTGACTCGCAAGGGAGTGCTGCTACATCGACTGACAAATAGCCTGACTCGCAAGGGAGTGCTGCTACATCGACTGACAAGTAGCCTGACTCGCAAGGAAGTGCTGCTACAACGACTGACAAATAGCCTGACTTGCAAGGGAGTGCTGCTACATTGACTGAGGGTTTGGTTTGGGCAGGCAGTCTATCAATTTAAAAAAAAAAGTTGAGTTTTTAAACTTTTTCTGAATGGTTTATTAACGCGTTCTTTAAAACTACAGTTAATGGGAAACTCTTTTTGACTACCATGCAAGAGACTTGCAAGAGTATGTATGTATATATATATATATATATTTATATATATATATATATATATATATATATAAATATATATATATATATATATATATATATTTTTATATATATATATATATATATATATATATATATATATATATATATATATATATATATATATATATATATTTATATATATATATATATATATATATGTATATATATATATATATATATATATATATATATATATATATATATATATATATATATATATATATATATTTATATATGGTTCATATCATTTGAAACTAATATCAATTAATATAATAAAAAATAAAAATCTTACATAAAAATTTGAACAAACTTGAAAGTAATTAGTCTTTGTGTAACTCTATGAATAATACCATTTTTCGTTTTAGGAACCAGTTTGGTTTTTTCAGATATTGTAGATCTTTGATAAAGAGTTTGATCATATGAAATATTAAAATACAGATTTTCGTTTGACGATTGAGAACTTTCATCACAAATAACTTTTACTGGGTCTATAATTTGTTTTCTGAAAACAGTAAAATATGATTTTTTTATATATGAAATAACAAGTGCGCGCCATAAAACTTATAAACTTTGAATAATATTGGAACATTTGAAAGAAATTAAAAAATCCTTTTAAGTAAATACCATTAGGGAATGTCGTAAATTTTTTTTTTTTTTTTATGTTTTTAAAAATGGCTGTAAAGTTTTATTATCATTAACTTATATAATGCATAGTGAGAAGAAGTAAAATGAAAATAAGCTTTTAACTAATCATTTTTTTTTAGAAAATTGAATAAACATTATTTATAATATTTTTCTCAAATACGAGCATGAGTAAATCTGGTCAGTTTAACCTTAAATATATTGCAATATGTTGCTTAAAATGTTTTTATGTTTACTTTAGCAAGTGCACTTAAAAACACCAATTTCAATTTTATTAGTTAAAACTGAATCTTTTAGAGACTGGTTAACAAATTATCATAATCATAAGTTAACATTTTATAATCCCTAAAGTTGTTAAAAACCATTTTAAGTAACTATAAAGAAAAAAAAAATAGATTAGTTCTTAAAAAGGCGCCTTTTCCACCATTCATAAATTCATATATTGTGTTAATAGATATCTAGAGAAAAACTAGATTACTTTTTTCAAACATCTTTCCTTCCAACAAGACTGCAAGCAGCAAATGTTAGAGTTGAAAGAGAAAAGATAAAGTTTATAAAGCAAGATGAGAATTAATAATGGACTTAAATTACTGCAAACTAGATTTATCAGAAAACTTATTTATAGTGTTTGCAATTTTTTAATTCATCTGAGAACTCTTAAAGATGTTACATCAATGTGGAATAATACATCGTATGTGGAATGCATATGGGGATGAATAGCATAATAAATTTTATTAAAGCCTTTAAAATGACTACATCAATAGCTCTAACCTCTCTACATCTATGTTATACACGTTAAAAGTATATACTTTTAACTTTAACTAATCAGCAGAAGAACTAGAAGATTAAAACTTATATTGATGATCAGAAAGTATGTTGTCAGATTTAAGAGATTTAGTGCTTAATAATTAAAGACTCTAAAACCTTGCTATTGTTAGTAATAAGATCAATAGGATATTCTTTATACGAGTCAGATCGCTCTCCAGAATTTTTGAAAAATGGAATAATAGATACTGTTTTCCAGCAGACTGGAAAACCAGATTCTGATATGCACTTGTTAAATAGTTTTAAAAATATAGATCACAGCTCTGGAAAGCATTTCTTTAAATATATGACAGGTATAATGTTGGGACCACAAATTATAGAAAATATTAAAGCAGAAAAACATTCAAGGGACAGAAGCTGTAGTAATATAAATATCAAGCGTTTATTCAACCTGTTTGTTGGCTATATCAGGTAGGTTGTGATTTGTAAAATCAAGAGATGAGGTTGATAAAAATTTCTTTAGAAACAATTCAGCTTTGTCTTAGATGAGGTAACAAAACCTAAACAATGCAAAAAAGGTGGAACAGTTTAGCCTCTAATATAGACACTCCTGAAAATTCTTTAAAAGTCACTAGAGCCTAATTTTTGACATGAAATATGATAAATCGTGACCTGAGATTAGCAGATTTTGGCTTAAGAAAAAAATTTTTTACAATGTTTTTTAGCAATAGCTAACATTTTTAGCAATAGTAAACTAATTTCATATTTAGAGAACTGTTTTGGTCATAGATATGGAAGTAATGGTTACAATTAGAAATTGCACCAAAAAAATGAGAGGAAAAACTTGGGAGGCTGAGTAAGCACCAGCTTGATTAGTGCAAATGGCATAAATGCAAAGCATTGTAAAACTAGCATGAGTGCAAACTGGCCTATGTGTGAAATAGCATGAATGCGCCACAAGAATTTACAAATACTAGCATAAGTGTAAACTAGCATAAGAGCGTGTCAGTTGCAAAAACTAGAACAAGTGCGAATCAGCATAATTGCGACCTTGCATAAGTCCGTCAAAAGAATTTGCAAACATTGAAATGAAAACTGTCATAACCCAGTAAGCACAAGACGCATTTTAGACACTTATAGACGTCTAAAACTAGTCTAGGTAAAGACGCACTTTTATAGACGTTTTAAAGACATCTTTTAGACGTCTTTTATGAATGCGTTTTAAAAATGACCTTTAAAAGGCGTCTTTTTTAAAGATAAAAAGACGTCTAGAAGACGTCAATTTTTAAGACATCTCCTTGACGTCTTTTATAAAGGCGTTTTTAAAATGACGTTTAAAAGGCGTCTATTTAAGCGTTAAAAAAAAGTCTAGAAGATATCTTTTTTTAAGACATCTTCTAGACGTCTTTAATGAATGCAATTTTAACATGACGTTTAAAATGCGTCTTTTTAAAGTTTAAAAATACGTTTAAAAGACGCGTAATAAATAGTCTAAAATACGCATTGAAAGACGTCTAGATTAAAGCTAAAAGACGTCTTTTCTGAGACCTGTTTATAAATATGTCATTATGACTTCTTTTTGACGGCTTTGTCATTACGCGTTAAGTAGATGTCGTAATTCAAAGTAAAAACATAGTTTTTATTATTTTCAATAATTTGTTCAAGTTTTAAGTGTAAATTACTTTAATTTAAATTACTTTTTTACACACTTGCTAAAATTGTTGTCACAGGAATCACTAAAATAATTGCTATAATATAATATATCTTTTTTTTATTAATAATTATTTTGCTTTTTTAATAGAAAGTTGACTGATCATGATAATAAGTGAAAATGGCAAGAATAATATATAAGTTAAATATCAGTACTTTTAGTTTTTATACACCCACAAGCCATATAATAAGTCAAGTATGAGCTCAAAAATTAGCTAGAAATACGCATGGTAGATTTTATTGTAACTAAAGGTAAGTTATAAATGTTTAAAATACTGTTTTGATATATATTTGTTAATGTTATTTATTATTTTCATCTTTGATGCATCAACCGTTGGTGGTGATTACAGCAACATTATTTTGATTGCTGGTTCCTATTTTGTATATACGAAATTATAACAATATATGATGTTATAAATACAATGAATATATACCACATACTACGCGAAAATGTTACGTCATGTACTTAAAATTATCTTGAAAAAAACGTCTAACATACGTCTAAAACGCGTTTTCATAAAAACGTCTTCATTTAGACGTCTTTTAGCCTTATGATCTAGACGTCTACAAGTGCGCCTTTTAGAGCTCCTTAAAGACATCTTTAAAACGTCTTTTAAACGTCTTTCTGCTTACTGGGAAGTTCGAATAGGCATATGTGTGAAGCTGCTGCAAACACTGGCACATGTGCAAATTGGCATAAATGCAAACTGGTATAAATGCGCCAAATAAATGTTCCAACATTTGTACAAATGTGTACATGTATAAGTGCGAAGCAGCAGCAAAACCTCAAATAAGTGCAAACTGATAAAGTGCAAATTAGCATAAATGTGCAAAATAAATTTAAAAACATCAGCGTAACTGATGTAACTGATAGAAACTGACTGACTAGGGTCAGAAACAAGACATAAATTGAGTAAAAAAGGTTTTTTTTTAGACTGTGTGGACAGCGAATTTAAAAGTTAACTATTTGTGTTAGAGATTAAAAAATACAAATGTTGTAGAACGTCTGCAGAGTATTTGACATTAGAGCCAAGCTATTTAGTGTGATAGGCATTAAAATCACCAACAACAACATTCTTGGCAAAAGAATAAAGTGATCATTTTAATCAGAAAATACGGTACTTTAGTATTTTTTGATTTTTTTTTAAGTATTTTTAAGTTTTTGTTTTAAGTATTAGAATGAAAGTTTCACAAATGTTATATTTGTAAATAACCCTAGTTTTTAGTTTGTGTTGATAGATTAGATGACTTTAATTTAAAATGATTATTGGGTTGTTTTATTACTTAGACTGGCTACATATAGTTATTCACTAAATGCTAAAGATTCAGTTTTTAAATAAAAAAAATAATTTATCTTACTGTGATCATAAATTTTTAGTTAACCAAACTTGCAACAATAAATCTTGAAATATTCACAAAAGATAAACAACCTCTCAAAGTAAGTTTCTTATTTGTTATCTGTTAAGTCACATTTTGAGTTTTCAAGCAAATATATAGAGTACATAACAAATTAATGTGTTTTAAGTGTATTCAATAACAATTTTGTTCCGTTTTTAGGTCAATTTCCTTATCCTGTGACTGAAATGTTCCGAATGTTGATTGTATTCAAAAAGCTAAAACGAAGCTTGATAGTCTTCATACTACTTACTAAAAGATACATAACAATGAAAGAATGCTTCAAATTAAATTATTTAAATAAGTATTTTTAAATATAAAACTTTTTTGTATTTTTTTTTTAAGTTAACTTATTTATTTTAATATAAGAACATTATTTGGTTGTCTCTCTTTCTCTCTCTCTCTCTATCTCTCTCTCTTTATATATATATATATATATATATATATATATATATATATATATATATATATATATATATATATATATATATAAACTAGTTACTATTATTTATTGTGTATTTTTTTACTTTTTTTAACATGCTGCTTTGAAACACTTTCTTTCTCTCCCTCTCTCTCTAAGATGAGAGGAAGAAATAGTAAAACATATGCAACTACCGAGCTCCTAGGTGTTTCTTATTTACTATATATAATAAATATTTTACGCATTGCCTGCTATTTTGTGATATAATTACTCATATTGTTTAACTATAATTGTCTCGAGGTTGCATAGTCATAAAAACAAAGGCAAAAATAAAACCCATGCACAAAGTCAAGAAGATCGAGCATTCAACATTCTATTCCGGAAAATAGGCATTAAAAATACATTTTCATCAGCCTAATAGATAAAAAAGAAGGTGCAAATCAACAGATAAAATCTGTTTACCTCTATATTATTATCCCGATACTTATCCCTATATTACTCCTTTAAGTAAATTTTGTGACCAAAAGTAATTACAACATTAAAATCTGTTTTATCCCTCTTAACTACATACATACATTTATTTAATAATATTTAATTGGATGATAACAGAAGCTAAAACTTGATTACCTGTTTGAACACGAAGATGGAAGATAAATAAAAATGGCTAAAGTAGATATTGCCAAATAAATTGTGAATATCACATTAGGTAAAACTATTTTGAATTGATCAAATAAACCACCTGTAGAGTGCAATAATAAAAGAATTAAAAAAAAAAAAATATTTAATATAATACACAAAAACAAAATTAAAACAAACAACAAACTTTTAAAAATTAATACAAGATATACATGTCAGTAATCATACTGAAACTGATAAAAGTTACAGAGACAGGGCTACATTATACAAAACTATTGAGAAACAAGGGTATGGGCAAACAATTTTTACATATGCAAGGAACCAATTATGGCAGAAAATAACTTATATTTTTCATTTTCCATTTTTAGTTACTTTTTTCTATAAAGTTCCACGATTTAGTATATTTTTCTATTTTAACTATATGTTTACATGCTTTCGTTCAGTAATTTTTTTTGCTTTAACTATATATTCACTTGTTTACTTTCAGTATATTTTAAATTTTAATTATATATTAACTAGTTTTTTTTCAGCATTATCTTTTTTTTTTAATTTTTATATTTCTGCTTCCATTCAACAAATGTTTTAAATAAAACTATAGATTTTCTTACAATGTTATTGAGTATAGCGGCTGTAATTTAAAAACATAAAGTAAAAATTCAACTTATTTCAAAGCTTGTAAACAAAAATAATGTAAATACATGCATTTTATTTCATCAAAAGAGTTCTGTATTACATCAAACACATATATATGTGTATCAACAGGATGAGTAATTTGTAACCCAGTAACATGTAAACCAGTACAATCTGCTTCATGTCCTGCTGCCCTATAGGATACGCCTTTTTAGACAAAGGTTAGGAGATGCCAACTCCAACACAAATTACCACTGTTCTGAGGTTCTTGGTTGAGTAAAGGTTAGAGATGCTGTCTCGAAAAAAATACTTATCTAGGGCAGATATTTATTGTTAAATTAAATATTAGATTAAATATGTAGCCGTGGCGCAGTGGTTAGTTTTCTGGCTCAGAACCCAGAGGTCCGAGGTTCGACGCCAGCTCTAGCCGAACAATTGGTACGGAAATTGGTACGGAAGGAGGCGTGAACTTCCTGTTAAATGCTCTCCCGCGGTGCTCTATGATAAGACCGTAAGGACTTCTGGGAGCACCTAAATACATACAAAAAAAAAAAAAAAAAAAGACATTAAATGCATTCGGCTGCTGCCTTGTCGAAGGCAAAGACTTAAGAGGTCAAACCTACTTGCTCTTTGTGAGACTAAATTAAATTCAGTTGTCTTATCTTGTGATCTTAGTGTTGATGGTTATCTTCCATTAATTCGTAAAAACTCATATAGCCACATGCTTGACCTGGGCATTTATATTTGTAAGAATTCACCTATTTGTTGCGAAAAATGGTTTGATTCCACAAACTACTCTTTTATGGGCTTTTGTTTAGCACCACTTTACTCTATCGCTTTTCTCTTTTTTCTATATTGCTCTCATTAATCTCAAGACTGCGCTCTTCTTGATGTTATTTCTGATCATATTGACTAAGCCCTCTCTCTTCATCAATCAGCCAATATTGTTGTTAGTGGTTACTTTAATGTTTATCACACTGAATGGTTTGGCTCTAGTGTCAGTGACATTGCAGGCATTATAGCCCACAACTTTTGCCTTTCTAGATCTCTAACTCAAATAGTTAACTTTCCAATTCGCTTTCCTGATAACTTAAATCATTAATCTTCTCTACTCAACTTTTGTCTTGTTTCTGATCCTATTCAGTGCTCAGTTTTTACATATTCAGCTTTAGATGCCTCTGATCACAGTTTGATCTCTCTAAAACTATGATATCGATCTTCTTTATCATCAGAATTCCCTTATCATTGTACATCTTTCAACTACCTTAAAGCTAACTGGGACTCTTTCCATTTAATTCTTCTTGATGGCCTTCGGGTAGAAATCTTTTTTCTTCCTGTTGACAAATATACTTCTTACATAACTTGATGGATTCGGGCTGGCATGGAATCCTTTATTCTCTCTCGACGATTCCAGGTGAAGCCTTACTCTTCTCCATGGTTTTCCTCACATTTTGCTGCTGCAATTGCCAATCGCAACTATTACGCCCGTATCTATCAGCAAAATAATTCTCCAGAAAACAGACGTCTGTTTATTACTATTAGGAACCATTGTCAAAAGATTTTTATCTAATGCTAAAGCCCGTTATTCTCAGGTCATGAAATCTTGTATTTTATCGCAAAATTTATGCTCGCGTAACTTCTGGCGAATCTTTACCAGTATCAATAATAAAGGCAAGGCTGTAAGTCCATCTCTTTTGTATGATTCAGACTTCGTCACCTCACCTAAAGACAAATCTGAATTGTTTGCTTTGAACTTTTCATCAATATCATCTCTTGATACCACTTGTTGCGTTCTACCTGATATAGTCGTCAAAACGAGTTGATCTGTTGCTTGACACGATTTATCACTCCTGCTTCTGAATCTAAAATGATTTCCTGCTTAGGCTCTTCTACAGCTTGGGTCCCGGACAACATACCTGTTATAGTCTTGCAGAAGTGTTCTCCAGAGCTGTTGTCTATCATTTCAAAAATATTCAACAAGTGCTTATCAGACTCTTGTTTTCCAGCCTGCTGGGAAACAGCATCTGTTATCCTTATTTTTAAAAACTCTGTAGAGCGATCTGATTCGTCTAACTACCGTCCGATTAGTCTTCTTTTTATCATAAACAAGGTTTTTGAATCTTTAACTAACAAATAATTAATCTCTTATCTTGAATCTAATAAGTTACTTTCTGATCATCAAAATGGATTTTGATTTTCTCGTTCTACGGCTAAATTGCTAACAGTAATAACCGATAGGTTTTATCGTAAATCAGATAAAGGTGGAAAGATTCAAGGCAATTGCTCTTGACATTTCTAATGTGTTTGATAAAGTTTGGCATGCTAGTCTTCTCTATAAATTTTTTTCTTTTGGTGTATCTGGAAACATCTTTAAGATTACTGAATCCTACCTACTAATCGTAGTATAAAAGTTGTCCTTCATTGACAGCACTCTTCTTCTTATTCTGTAACCACAGGGGTTCCTCAAAGTTCAATCCTTGGCACTATACTCTTTTAAGTTTACATTAATGATCTTACAGATTGTCTCATGTTCGCTGACGATACTATTATTTTTTTTGCCATGATAAGAAGCCAACTCTCTCTGATTGCTTGCAAGGGGCATTTGAGCTTGAAACAGATCTCACATCTACTACAGCATGGGGCTCACAGTACCTGGTAAACTTTAATTCAGATAAAACAGATTAAAAAAAATTTTCAGCAAATTTTTATTGCAATAATTTAGACCTTCATATATTTATGATTTGTAATGTACTCGTCAAGTCATCTACCATTTATCTTTTAGGATTAACTCTTACTTCTGATCTTTCTTGGAAACTATATATCAAATCCGTTGCAAAATTAGCATCTGCTAAAGTTGCATCTCTTCATCAAGCTCGACACTTTTTTACTTTAGATTCTATTCTTTATCTTTATAAATCTCAAATCCAGTCTTGTATGGAATACTGTTGCGTTATCTGGGGCGGATCTTCTAATGAAGCCCTTTCTCTTTTAGGTAAGGTGAGAAAAACTCATTGCAAACATAGTTTACCTGCTCTTGCAGCCAACCTTCAATTATTATCTAACCGTCGTAATACTGCTTCTCTTTCTCTTTTCTACAAATATGATATAGGGCACTGCTCTAAAGGCAAGCGTCTCTTGTGCTATCAAGTAAAATTTACTCTCTAGTTACTCGTCATTCAACTAAGTCTCATCCTTTCTCTGATACTGTTCCTAAGTGGTCTAAAAACTCTCATTCGTCTAGTTTTTTTCCTCGAACATCAGTCCTTTAAAATTCGCTTCCTTTCTCTTGTTTCCTGATTAATATAATTTTTAATCTTTTAAGTCATCTGTCAATTTTTGTTTTGCTCTACAATCTTCATCTTTTC